CATTCGATGAATGTAATGGTGGTACCTGTAGGGAATACTTCAAACATTAACTTTAAGCCCCATTGTGATCATGCATTTGAACATGGTGGCGTCTAAAGGGAAGGAAGCTAGAGATAAAAGAGTCGCCAACAAGTTTTAGGAACTTGTAAATCGTTCACGGGAACGAAGGTTACACCCCATTCACGATCACGGAGATCGCTAACTCTATAGTGGTCTGGAACCATGACTGGATATTCGGGGATGATGGTACGAATCCAACCTAAAAGAGATTGAACCTGCCCTAAATCGGCCTCTACTTAATTCTTATGATATTCATGTGCACTTTCCGATCAACATACATTCAACAAGTTAGCTCTAAAACTGTGTATTCTATGTTGGTTGATCATTAATGCACAAATAAATCTAATATTGGCGATCACTTGAACTAAAATCATATTAGCTTAAAATCAAATTATTAATTATCTTATTAGGTGTGATTTCAGGTACAAATTTCCTATAAACCTGTAAAAAGGGGCGTGATCAAGCAATAACAACAAATCATGAATAATCAAGCAATGTATAATTATTGACACAACAATCATCATTATAATAACATCGTCAAAACACGATTAATAGCAAGATCCTAGGCATGATACTAAACGGATTACTAACAAATCCTAGCATATCACTAATAAGAAAGATCAAAGCTTTAGCCTAAACATGATACTAGAAACCAACATGATATTAGAAATATTAGAACATCCTAACATGACACTAGAAATCAAAAGAACAATTAAGTAATTGAATTGCTCACTTTGATTCCTCGTACCTCTTTCTATCAAAAAAATACACACGTTAGTAACTTCAAGAAAGATTAAATCAAACAAATAAATCAAATAAGAATTGAAATATAGATTTGAGACTAAACCCTCAGAACTATCAACCTTTCACGTCGAGGTCGAAGGCAACTACGAGATTGGCTTGGAGTATTCAAATCTCGTGATGGAAGTATGATGTATGATATCAAGAAGGTGTTGGGATGTGTTTAGGCTAAAGCTAAAAAGAAAGAGAGAGAGAAAAAAGATTTTAGCTTAGAGAGGGAAAGATATAATGGTTGTTGGTGATCAAACTTCTTGATGATTGAAAACGGGGTGAAACGACCTCTATTAATAGGGAAAGAGTCAGAATCCGACTAGGATTAAAACAGGCGCTATCGTAACGCGATATTTGTATCGCAGCGCGATAGGATTATCGCAACGAGATATTTCTATCGCTCAGCGATATTTTTAGAAGATAGAATCCGTACGGAATCCGACTTCCAATCAAATTGGGTTAATCGAATATCCGTACTTATTCTAATTTTATCAGAATTAAAATTATTGAAAAACAAGTGTTTTATCTGATGTAAAATTCTTAAGTCTTTATCTTTTCAAAAATAGGATAAACCAGAACCTTCTAGAAGATTCTAGAAGCTAATAATAAATCCTAAGGGATTTAGGATTGAAAACAACCTTCTAAAGGATTCTAGAAGCTTTTAATAAATCCTAATTGGTTTAGGAATGATGTTAAGGTTAATGGACCCTCCACATGGTCATTGGATCGTAGGTAAGGCTCGATTTAGGCTCGGGTTTAGTATTTTGGCCATAACTTCTTCGTTATAACTCAGATTTAGGCTTATAATATATCGTTGGAAAGCTCTTTTCAATCCCATCCAACTAAGAAATTATTATACAAGGATTATGGACCAAAATAAACTGGTTTGGAAGTTTTTATAAATTGGACACGAAATGAGTGATTGTCAAAGACACGAAATGAATGATTTTGGGTTTAAAGGCACAAAATAAATGATTTTGGAAGACACGAAATGAATGATTTTGGCTTTAAAGGCACGAAATGAATGATTTTGATTTAAAACATTTAGGGAAAGGTAGAAATGGTCAAGGCTAAAAGAATTTCACGACACTTTTTAACTCTTCATCTAACTCGATAATCAAAGACGTGAAAGGTACTTATCACTGGGTTTGGTTTTTGGGGAGACACAATCAGGTGTTTACAGTACCAGATCAGTTGTGTGTGGAATTTCAGAAAATGAATTTGGAGGTTATGGAACATGGAGAAGTGACTAGGATGTTGAATGGATGGATGAATTAGATAAGGGAAAGTCAATTGGAAGACGAGAAGCTAAAAGCAATAAAGAAAAAGATCGATGAAGGTTAGGTGTTGGATTTCACCATTGGTGATGAAGGGAGTATTTGTTTCAAGGGAAGATGGTGTTTACCACAGAGTCGTGGAGATTTGAAGCAGAGATTGATGGAGAAAGCCCATAATTCTCCTTATTCATTGCATCTCGGAGGGGATAAGTTGTATAAGGATATGAAGAAGACTTTTTGGTGGCCTAATATGAAGAAAGAAGTAGTTGAATTTATGGCCAAGTGTTTGACATGTCAGAAAGTAAAGATTGAGCATTGTAGGCCTTAAGGAAAGGTCCAATCCTTGGAAGTGCCAAAGTGGAAGTGGGATT